ACTACATCAATGAAACCAAGGAGAGGCACAACCTGCGGTGGACGCTGATACTTAACCCGGCCATTCAAGCTGACAAAGGACAGTCGTACAGTGTCTTCGCTGAGGGCTACCGGCGAGATGTGTTCATCAAATGGCCAAAGGAGCTGGCGGCCAACTTTTCGGCAATTGGCCACCCTCGCAATGCCCCCGCTGATAAGGGTGTGCTATACGGCAAGGTCTGGCCCAATGGGCCGGCCGCCTTTCCGGACTTTTTCAAAAACTCCACAGTCTACTGGTGGAAGGAGATGATCAAGAGCCTGCATGGTGACTTGAAGTTTGACGCTCTGTGGATTGTAGGTGCACTTAGCGTAATTGAAAAGTGCTGTGTACCACTAATGACTCCTGCCCTTATCTCCCTTATCTTCCAAGGACATGAACGAGCCGAGCAACTTTGACGAGACGTCCTGGTACCGGTGTCCGGCAGATAAGTACGCCATATCTTATCGTAAGCAAGAGGTTTTACCAGTTTTTTCAATGTCACTGTGTAGATACACACTGCAAATCTTTATTCCTTACCTGCCCAATTTTTTGTTTATCTACCCGAGCAGCGGCGATGAAGTTCAGCGAGCCAATCAACACCAAGACCATCTGCATGAGCGCCGTACAGGGCGAACAGGGCGAGCTCCGACACTACGACGTGCACTCGCTGTACGGCTGGTCGGAGACGAAGCCCACGCTTGAGTGAGTGAACTGAACTGATTGGATCGTTGTGTCCACAACAACGCAGCAGCAGCATGCAAACATTCCCTCTTATCTAACAATTCCCCATTACCATTAGTGGGCTGCAGGAGGCGACCGGAAAGCGTGGCTTTGTGCTCTCCCGCTCGACGTACCCCAGCTCAGGGCGGTGGGGCGCCCACTGGCTGGGCGACAACACCGCCAGCTGGGAGCAGCTGCGCCAGTCCATCATTGGACTGCTCGAGTTTAGCCTCTTCGGCGTCAGCTTCACCGGGGCGGACATCTGCGGCTTTGGGGGCGAGCCGGGGGCGGAGTTGTGCCGGCGGTGGCTCGTCCTGGGCGCCTACTACCCCTTCTCCCGGTCGCACAACACCTGCTTCTACCGATCACATGTACACGGAGAGACGGTAGCAAGGTGAGAATTTTGCTTCCTAGCAAAGAAACTGTTTTGATAATTACATTTTTAAACGCTAGACCGCTGCACCACGAGTTTCCACTGGACACTGCCGCCCGGAGCATTGATGAGCAGTTTCTTCTGGGGCCGTCGGTGCTGGTCAGCCCTTTTCTCTTTGAGGTAAAGTGCAAACTAAACAATAAAAAAATTTGTTCATTTGAATATATTCTGCTTTTTTAACAAAATCAAACGTTTCACAACGCATACGTTCCGGGCGGAAATTCCTCCTCCTCCTCCGAGTGGTACCGAATGGAGGGCGACTTTGTGACCAAAGTGCACCCCACTTCAGGCACTGTCCACTTTGCCGAGGCTGACTCTCATCGCCCACTTCTGCTTCGAGCAGGCACCGTTTTACCCGTCGTCGCCGACGGCAAACTGCCCACCGTGGTCAACACAGCCAATTTACGAAAAACCCCCATAGAGTTGTGGGTATTGCCCAACTCAAGTTCTGGTTCTGCAAGTGGTGATCTCTTCTATGACGACGGAGAGTCGATCGACACTTTCGAAGCGGGAAATTACAATTTGTACGAGTTCAAGCTGAGCAAATGCAACCTCAGCATCAAAGTAGAACATTTTGGATATCAGGCACCTCCAAACTTTCAGGATATTCTCAAAGTTGACAACATCAAGGTGGCATTGAGTAGCAGCAAAGCCATCAACAGTGACAACTTGAATGTGTCCATTGATGGAGCAGGTAATCATCCTCTGAAGGCAAACATTAAAGACAACATGTTGAACATTCATCTTAGTGAAGCGGTAGACTTGCTCAAATCCAACAAAACCGTTTCCATTGTGTTTAGCAACAAAAACAGCGGAGAGTGTTTTACTCACTAAGTTTGTATTTAAACTGATTATCATCATAAAATAATTTCTAAAACTCACCCTTATCTACTGAAAAACTCTCTACTCTAATCTCTAGCCCAGTCGATTTATTGATTTGATTTGGTTTAGTAGTAGTAGTCAATCTTCTTGTATCGACTCATCAGCAGTGCCAGCATCGTCATGAAGGTGGTGGTCAGCTAAATTAAGGCATTAAAATAAAATAAATCTGTTTTGAAAAAAAAGAAGAACCTACCTTGACACAGGTCTGCGTGTTAATGGGCTTTCCCAGGAAGCTGATGTCAATTACATTGGCCAGCGTCTGGTCGTAGTACTGCTGCACCTGAAAAAAATGAAAATGTTTGTTTGTTTCTTTACGCAAAAACTCATTTTCAGTGCAAACAAACCTTAAACTTAAGCGACAGCTTTTCACTCTTCAGCAGCTGATCACTGCACACCATCGCCCGGTACAGTCGGTAGCCGGAGCTGTTGGCCATCTGGTCGACCTTGCCGGCAATGTGCGACAGGTAGCCGATGAGGAAGATGTAGCTGATGCCATTCTCAAACCAGAAGAAGAAGAACTGGTTGAGGGCGCTGGCCCACTTTAGCTGGCGCATTGTGGTGTAGAAGCGATCGGGGATGACTAATGTTATTCTTTTTAAGCAAGTTTATAAACAGAGAAGACGGTTTTAAGATTTAAACACATAAAAAAAATTAAGTTTGCTTAAAAACAGTAGAATCGAGCCCGGCATTTGTCTTGTTGTTGTTGTTTCTCAAGGTACTAAGAGCTTTACCAAACAGATCTCTTTCCACTTCAACTTTTAAAGTGTGCCGAAGTGAAAAAATGATTCTTCAGTGAAGCTCAAATTTTTGTCGATGGGCAGAATCGAACTACCGCCTTTACGGCCACAACGTAGAGTACTACCACTATACTACATCGACACTGTCCACTTTGAAGTAGTCTACCTAGGGAGCACTTTAAGGCTACGGAGGAGCACTTTAGATCAGGAAAAGTAGATCAACTCCATTATTATTATAACAGCTTTTGTTGTTGTTCAGTTTGAGCAGAGAGCAACCGGATTTTCTTTTTGCCCATTTGAGAAGAGCGCGCCGATTGAGAGTCGAGGTAAACGCTCAGTCAGACTGGATAACAATAATTAAGCTGATCTACCTTTTCCTTTTATCCGATCCCTTTTCTTAAGTGCTCCCCACAGATTACCTTTAAAGAGCTCCCACTACCTGAGACCTTCAAGAGACGGGTCGATGTCGTATAGTGGTCTAGTACACTTCGTTGTGGCCGAAGAAACGGCTGTTCGATTCAGCCCATCGACACCTTTTTTTGTTTTCATTTTCAACTTTTTTTAGAAATGCNCCACTACCTGAGACCTTCAAGAGACGGGTCGATGTCGTATAGTGGTCTAGTACACTTCGTTGTGGCCGAAGAAACGGCTGTTCGATTCAGCCCATCGACACCTTTTTTTGTTTTCATTTTCAACTTTTTTTAGAAATGCAAAAAATAGGAATTTTTTTCTGAAAGAACGAGCTCAAACGCAAGTAATGTTTTTCAGAAAAGGTTCTTCAAAGGTAGGAAAGTACTGTTTAGCCATTTTGATTTAGGTGAAACGCGGTTTTCATTTTCTTGTTTTGGCGAGTGTCTTCAGTTCGAAAATCAGAGCGCCGGTTAGCACGGTGCAGTTTAAACCGGAGTTGACGCCAGCAACATGCACCGTGTTAGGAGGGTGCGCTCTTCCGAGCACTTCTGTCACGTGGGCGCTTATGTTTTGATTCGGCTTTCCATCTTTTTTGCTTTAAAATTCGGATTCTTTTGCTCTGGTTTTGTTTTACTGATTGGCCTAGATAAAAAAAGAAGAAGAATTAGAATGTGTGAGCGAAACGACACACCGGCGGGCGAGTCACCGGCCGGCAATCACCTGTACGCCAAGTTTAAGAAGCAGCTTTTGGAGAGGTAAGAACAATCAAAAAAGAAATCTGATTTTTTTTATTCTAAACACTTTTCTGATTTTTAGCGGCTTCAAGAGCAAGTGCCGGAAGTGCAATGACCGAGAAGGTACTGTGCTGCTGCAGAAGATGCACGTTTTCTGCGCGGACTGTTTGCTGGAGTACTGCCGCCACAAGTTCCGCTCGACAATCGGCAAGGAGAAGGTGCTCGGCGCCAGTGATCGGGTCCTGGTGGCCGTTTCCGGTGGGGCTGCCTCTCTGGCCATGGTCGACATGATCAGAGGCGGTCTGGAGGGTAAAGTGATTCACAAGAGGCCGAAGTACATCACCTCGGTGGTCCATGTTGACGGTAGGAAGGAAGAAAAACCTTTTTTGAACTCGAAAATCGAAACTAAACGCTTTTTTCCAGAATCGATCCTCAGCTCTTCTGAAGAGCCAGCCCAACTTTCCCGTGACCTCTTCACCTTCCTATGCAGCAGCAGCGACCTTGATCTTTACCTGACGGCGATTGAGGGTACAGTTTCGAAATCCCAGAACAGTCACCACCTTCTCATCGCCGCCGCCGACCCAGCTTCGCTTGAAGAGAAGTTCACACGAGCGAAGGAGTTCCTCTCCGAGCAGCGCTTCCTCTTTGGAAGCTCTTTTCTGGCCTCTTTCGCCCGCCTTCAGTCGCCTACCTCTAAACAGGACTTTGTGGAAAGGTTGCGAACTCTGGCGCTGGTCCGGCTGGCAAGGTCAATTGCCTTTACGCGGATCTTCGTCGGTTCCACTCGAACCGAGCTGGCCACCGCCCTCCTCGCCGACATTAGCCTGGGACGGGGCATTGAGGTGCAGTCGGAGATGGTAAAGTTTTGGGATTGTTTTTTTAAGGTTTGGTTTCTAATTTCGAAGGTGGCCACCTTTTCAGGCCTTCCTCGACGACCGCTTCGCCGGATCATCGGCAGTGACCATCCTCCGGCCCTGTCGCGAGCTGACCGCCAAGGAGCTCGCCTTTTACGTCCGTCTTCGAGGCCTGGACCCAGCGGGAACTCTCACCGGCAGCCGACACGCCTTCACCACTGCCAAACCGACCAAGTCGGCCATTCACCGCCTGACGGAGGCCTTCCTCGGTGGCCTGGCGGAGGAGTTTCCCTCCACGGTGTACACCGTCTTCAACACGGGCAATAAGATCACCTCGGCTACCTCGAATACTTTTTCATCTGTGGATATTGAGGATCTCAAGAAGGAGGAAAATTTGAAGGCAAAGAAGCAAAAGGAAGTGGAGAGATGTCGGTTTTGCTGGGCCACAATTGATACGCAGTTTTTACGCGCCCGTCACGAGTATTCCGCCTTTGAGGCGCTTCAGCTAACTTCGGCTCTTTCTATTGGAGAAGAGGAAAAGGTTGAAAAGTTAGAAGATTTCAAAACTTCCGAGTTTTGCTACTCCTGCCTGCGACTAGGCGAGGAGATGGGCGTAGAGGAGTTCAGGAGTTTCTGTATTGTTCCCCGGTGATGTGTTTTTGATGAAAAAATAAAATGATATTTTTGTGAACTTGTCTTTTCGGAAGTTTGTCTACTGTGATCTGTCAGCTGGCGTGTTTACGTTTTGGCTGCTGCTGCTGTTTGTTTCTTGAACGACTTGTTTGGGAGATTTGAACATTTGTCTTCAGCTTTTCTTATCTTCTTCACCATCCACCTACCTCAAAGTCTCTCGGAGAAAAGGTCACCGCAAAGTCTTCTGGTCCTCTGAAACACTCTCAAGCCTTTCTAGTCTCTCTTTTTGAC